TTAAAATGAGTTGTAATTAGGTATGTAAAATATTACAATGTCATTAAAAATTCTTATATGATTAAAATTTAAAATTTAAATAATATCAATATAAGTTTAGAGGTGCCTTAGGTAATATTGAATATTTTAATATTTTAGTTTGGTAGGATAGTAAACTTTTTGTAAAATTAAAGATATAAATACAAGATAAGTTCTGCTGAATGAAAATTTGTTATATTATATGTAGTTTTTAGGGAGTTATAGTATACAAATAGAATGTTCAGACAACGCACGTGAAATTGTACATCCGTTTTGGTGTAACTATTCAACATTTTTATAATATTTTGGGAGTTAATTGTGAAAATTTTCAAGTTAGTCATTTACGGTTGACATCCTCTTAAAGTATACTATTAAGTAGTATATTATTTATGGATTACTGAACAATTAACAGTTTTCTATTAGATAATTTAATACAATTTAATACTTAAAAATGTGCTTATTTTAAAGGGTTATCCAAAATTTTTGCAGTCTCTTTATATTTTTTAAACATGTGTTCAATTAATAAGATAAAACTAAAGGGTAATCATAATAACTATAACTTACTAATTAAAAAAAGTTTAATAAGTTTTCGTTCTGATTTTGGAAATGTTCAAGTATTATGTAGCTTATTCATTTAATATTTTAAATAATAAATAAATTATAGGTAGCTTATAAGATATTCAAAAAATTATGATTTATATAAACTATAATATAAAATATCATTTTTTATTATTAGAACTTTAATTATAACTTATGCGTTGTTATCGTTTATGACATCATTGTTTTTGTTGCCTTTGCTGATTTATAATTTAAAAATATTATAGATAATAGTTTATAAAAGATGTTTCCCTATACCTCCAAATTTAAGAATAAATTTATTCCAAAGATAATAATATCTTTTATTTTTTTTAAGCTGTTTATGATATTTTTTTTATGTATGATTCATTTAAAATTAAACAATGAATCATACGCTCTGAAGGGTTGTTGCGTGACTTTTGATTTGCACTAAATGACTAATAATGACTAGCGGGCGGTATACCTGTGTGTAAGTTGACCTAGTAATTTGGGGTTACGGATGAGTAAACCCACTAGTCATACCTATTGACTTTCATTAGGAAAACTTAATAGAATAATTTGATTCCTTTTAAAGGAAAGTAGTTTTCAGAAGTAATTATTTGTTTTTATTTTTGTGCTTGTAGATATAAATATTTATACGCATATTTACAACATGTACCTATAGTATATTAATTAATAAATAATAATATATAATGTAAAATAATGAAATTCACTTTATATTTTTAAAATTTAGTTTACTCAGTATATTAACAAAACACGTGATTTGAGATTTTTATTTTTTATTTCGTAAGTAGGTATATAGCAATTAGAATTTGTAATTAAGTTCTTTATAAAAACACACTTCTCTTCTGTATAGCATTTCTTAACTGTTTATAATAATTGTATTTGTGAATGACGCTAAAAAAATGCATTGGATATTTGAACATGATAGATTTAGTAATCACATTTTTCTTGGCAATATGGTTACTATCAAATAAATTCAGAAATAAGTTATTAGTTGATTTTTAAATTGTAAGAACTCTAATATTTATATTTAAGATAACCGATTAAACGAGGTTATACATTTGAGCATCATATTAGAATATATTTTTAGAATAGTGGTATTTAACCATATTAGTTCATTCATATTAATTTTTTTATTTTATATTATAAATTAGGATTTTGTTGGGGTAATAAAACGATAGTTCCGAACCAGTTCAGTTAACTTAGTGTCGTCTTAGCGTACTAGCGATACTTGCAGTATAAATAGTAAAACGTGTCATAAAAAAAATCTAAACCGGTTTGTTGAGGAGTAGAAATTGCCTGCGGGTCGATTGCTTTTTACAGGTCTGCTGATCTCTGATACTTCCAATATATACATTATAGTCTCTAAAGCTTCCAAGTAGGTACTATTTAGATAATTTATCCAAAGACTATGTATCTAAAAATCCTTGGATAACATGTTATTGTCATTAAGCAGTCATCTATCAGACTTCTTATAACATCACTGAAATATATGTACCTACTTAATGGACAATATTTTGTTGCAAATAACAGTTACAAAAAAAAAAAAAATTTACACTATATTATAGGTAATCTAACCTAACTATAAACAAATTAACTTCATTTACATCGCTTGACTGCAATTTAAAATTAAAATATATAACCCTGTTGTATATCGACATCAATAATTACAAAATGTCCCATAGTTGTCGGACATGTTATTATAACAATTTAATTATATTGTTTTTAATTACTGAGATTTATACATTAAAAAATTTATAAAAATAACGAAAAAATAATAGGTACTAAAATAATATTAGGGATAATATTGGTTGTCGTATAGTTTGTTATTTTCATTAAATTATAATATTGATAATCTGTTAACTTATAACTAAAATTGTTTTTTGTATTTAGTCATATTTTATTTGATTATCTTATTATTTATTATATGACTTAATATAAAATCAGCAAAAAGCAATTCAATCTAACTTTAACCTGAAAAAGTTTAACAGTGTCTAGATAATACAATTTTCGCTTGATATTGGAAAATTAGGAAATATACAGTTACGTTGCAGAGAGTAACAGCAAATAGTATTCATTATATCTTTAGTATTTATAACAATTATTATTTTTTACGAGATCAAATTTGGTTTTTCAATAAAACTAAAAACAAGTACTTTAACTAACTTTTAACAACATATTAACCGTTAATTAAGGTCTATATATTATGCTGAAGTATAAATTACCATGATTTTAACTTGTCCTTAGATATTTCCTCCGTAACCGGTTTTGTTGTTGTAGGTTCATAAACATTAGTTCTTTTAAAATTCTAATGTCGGTTATAGGTATACACTTCTGCGTATTAAAAATTAAGAGGTTTATAGCGGGCTTTTTGTCACCCTATATCGGGCACTAGTTGCTATTCATATTTGTTTTTACTTTTGATAATAAATGAACGATATAAATTCAAAAAAATGATTTCCAAATTTATAGCTCAATTAATATTTTTCGTTTATTAGAAATCCATGCTTGAAAATATGATTTGCCTGGTGATCAACTATAATAATTTTATAATAAATTGAATATCGATAAATTTTTTTAGATAATAATAATTTTGTTACGTTTTGAATACTGATAATATTATTGACTTATTATTTTAAATTCTTATTCACATAACAAAAGTTAAGAATTGCTACAAACAATAATTGTTTATTTCGAAATTATCAATTAGGTACCTACCTAAAAGAAGTGGATTATTTGTTTCAAATAAGTTGTGTTATTTATTTATTATTTAAATATAAATTATTAATTAGTTTTTTCAAACTATTTCTGATTGATATACATATATGAACTAATTTTAATAATTTATTTTTCCATTATTTTTGTCTATTTTTTGTTAATCGTTAGATGTAGTGTTATCATATAGAGTATGATACTGTACTTTGTACAGTGTAATACACTGTATAAAGTACCCTAAAGTTAATACCATCATGAATCTTGATACTTAACAGTTCAACAATCTAGCTAGGGGACTCTATTGTTCATCACTCTATTTTTGTACGTTCCTTATATTTAAGTTTTTTGTGTTCCTTTCAATAGAGATTGTCTTATGCACGTTGTTTATTTTTTATTTTTGTGCACCCGACAACAATGGTCCTCCATTATTCGGTCCGTTCTACACGACTCTTCGTTCATTAACCATCAGTTAGAATTCATCTAGTTGCTATCCTCAGAAGACTGTCCTTTTTTTCTATTCGCACCTGTTTCGATTTTTCACGCATGCTCATCCATATAGTATATTAGTATACATATAGTATATATATAGTATACATCATATTAATATATATATATTATGTATAATGTACATAGGATATTCGATGTATAGGAAATAATTTCACTTTATAATATATATACTTATGTATTAATGTACAAAAAACTATTTTAAGTTGATTTGATTTTATGCTATTAGGTATTATACAATTTTTGAACTAAAATAAATTAGGTAGGTACAAGTAAATAAATTATTTTTATAATTTTCTTGTAGATTGTACTATAATATTCGTGCCTATGATATAAAATATAATTAATATTATACAAATAATATACTTACTGGTATGTTATATCATGATTAAGTGTTTAAAAAAGTTAATAAAAGTAAAAATAATTTACTAAAATGATACTGATATTTTTATTATTTTACTGTAACAATGTTAGGTAAAGTTAAAAACTATAACAATATTACTTCCAAAATTATCGTTCATCTGTAAATATATGTAAATCCATTTGCATTTATTTTGTTTTGAACGATTATATTTTAAAAACGTACTTAAATATACATAATAAATATGCATTACTGTTTAAGCTTACAATTTATTAGATAAATGCAAAATTATTGTTACCAAAAATACAAACAATAGAAATATTTTTTTGTTAAAAAAAATTATCAAGTAAAATCTTAATTAATTTTATAAATACCTATTATGTTAAGATGTGGTTGTATGTATGACTTAATTTTTCTTAATATTTAATTTATTGGTAACTGATAGGTAATAAACCATAATATAAATAATACATAGGCATATTGTGCATTATTAAATACTATTCAATAAATTAATACTGTATACTTTATAACATTAAAGTATAAAGATATAAAATATGTTTATTATTTTTAACTGACAACTTAAATTTTAACTTCATTATATTTTTTGTCTTATTATTCTTTTATACTTTTTTGTACCAACTAAACAACGTTCCATTTCATTTGTAGTAGATTTTGGCACACATATACGATGACGTAAATGCGTTGCCAGACTTCCATGTATTTTTTAAATGGTTTTCTTTATTTTTATACTGTTTGTTAACTTTTGAATACCATTCTTGTCGTAGTTTTTACAAATACTTATTCGTGTATTTTTTTTTTTTAGATGTTTTTCAAAATCACAATTTAACGTTTATAAAAGTACTACATTTGTGCAGGTAAGATATTTATTATTTAATTATAAGTTATTTATATTTTGTTACTTGTTAATAGTATTATTGTACTTTAAGTACCATTGATTTTAAAATTGTGCCCACATTAAAAGAAATATTTTTTCACTTGCTAAACGCTGCATTAATTTGTGACTTTGTGTATAATGACTATAATGCATTTTAAAAATAATTACTTTAAGTGAGTAAAATATATTAGGACATATACTGTCAAAAGAAAAATAAAGTATATTTTATTTTTGAATCTTAAAATAACGTAGTATCATATAGTAGTATTAAATATTTTGAGCATCCATTTACTATTTTCAGTAGGTATACAATGACACGTTTCGCTTCTTAACTGGAGTCAAAATATAATTTATTATATCTTTTTTTTATTTAATCGTAGGGTCCCCTCGATGATGGTATTAATGCATTATCTACCTTTTTGTACACCTGCCCGTTCTCTATAAACACGGCTTATTCTTTAGTGACGTGCATTCGGTCCAACTGATGATTTGTAAGGAGAATATTTTTATAAGAGAAAATGTCGGTTCTCAGCTGCGCTTTGTACGCAATACGTGATACGATATTTATGGTTCACTAGTATTTTAAGCAGTTCAATATAAATATCATGGCTTCACGAAATAAAGTTAACGGCCTTAGTCATAAACTGATAAATGTAATTCTATTTGTGGTTACTCATAATAATGACAATTTTTAGACTATTATTTTGTCGTTTTTTAATGTGGTTATATTATTATTGTTACTGTTTTGTCGTTATCTTACTGCATGGACAAAAAGATTGAGGGTTTAAAAAGTAGCATGTCACCATCGAACAATACCTAATTGCGCGAAATACAAAGCTCCGTTCTAGGTGTATGTCAATAAAGTGAACTCTCATTACGCTCTTAGACTTTATTGTTATGAAATGATCTTGCGCTTTAGATCAGTAAGCAGTTTTGGTAATTGTTTTGTTGTCTCGTAGACTACAGTTGCTTAAAAATGTCCTTAAATTATTAAGATATGAAATTTGTCATCAGCATTCAAAAATATATATTATGTATCTTTTATACATATATATATTATTTTTAAGTATTTTATATTACTTATCTTTATACTACCTATTTTTTTATTGTTAATTTATTCAATTCTATGAAACATTTAGAAAAAAGAGGCTATTTTATAATAGTTATTTATGTATATTTGTTTTAGATTAATAAATTTAAATTATACTGCAATAATAAAGATATATTACCTATATTAGTAACATATGCATTATTTACTGAAATAAAATGTTAAATAATTTTATTATTCATACATATTTACCGTTCTTACAGTAGTCTTGTAAAAAATAAATTAGATTCGATTAAAAAAAAATGTAGGCACAATATCATTTTTAACTATAGAGTATAATACGTTGGTATATGACGCATTTATTTTATTAATAAATGGAGAAAAAAAAGTCCTCTATAATAATGGCGACCGCAGACTCCGCGGTCCAAACCAGCTGGAGAACACGTCACGATTATCCCTCCCTTCATTGCAGTGCAGTATACAAACGTTATGTACAATAGAACTGGTTTTCTTGCAGAAGCCGCGTTGTTCCGATGAGACATACAGTGACCGTTTTGTCGTATTTTTTTCTTTCTTAAGTCGCATAGACGTTTTACCGAATGCGTAATTCAAAGTGCCAGTGGTGTGCCTCCCCACCCCCACACAAACACATTGTTCGGTCATGTATGGGTATTTTATTTATGTATGAGAAAAACACTATACTATAGTATAGGTAGTAGGTAATGGGGCTTCTATTGTTTTAATTTGTGTTTAGTTGACGAAGTAAAATGTATTGTACCCCTTTTTGTTTGTATGGAAAATAAGCAGTTGTTGTTGGAATACTTTGCACGAACACGTGTACCTTCAGTGCTCTGGTTCAACTAATAAAAATACGAATTTAAATAGTTATAAAATACTAAAGATCATTTTCCAAATGATATAATTACTATATTATTATTATATTACGTGTAACACTTGAACTTAATAAAATTACGATATTTATAATAAATCTTATTGATACAGTTTATTCTTTTATTTATTTTATCAATTATTATTATTATCCTAGTTAAAACGATAAAGATTGTTTTTGTACCTACGGTAAATAGTAAATACAAATAATATGTTCAGGGTAGCAAACTAGTTTGTGTTTACCAGCACGCCCTCGGGTAATCTGAAACCACTAACCAGTCTAAAAAAAAGGAAGAGACGCACGTATGGCAAAGATAAATGTTGTAAAATAAAATGTATAAAAAAAACTTAAAACCGGTCGTATTGTCTCCTGCGTGTTAATTTGTTGCCTAACTAGTCGCGCTAATGGCGCTCATTTGATTCTTAATGTAGAGAGATTCACGGTCAACGCGATGTAATAGCCCCGGACAGAAGCCTCGTAGTCTATGCTTATTTTAATCTGTGGCCATCAGATAGTGAAACACATATGTATAATTTTTTCTAATGAACTATTGCACGATACCAGCTGTGAATGTATTGATGTAATATCAGGGTATTAGATTTATTATTTCTTTTACGGTCGTGTACCTATTAGATAAAAAAATGTAGTATCATTACTATTGTTATAACTGAAGTATAGTCCTGATAAATAAAGCTATATTTTGATCATTCTAATATATATTTTTTTTTTTAATATTTCATTTTATTATAATTAAACTAAATATAAGAGAACAATTATTATGGCTCTTGTAGTTTAATTGAAACCTGTTGCTTATTATATATATATATATATATATATATATATATATATATATATATATATATATATTATTTGTGAAATGTAAAAATATTATTTTTTTATTTGTATAGTTAAATAATTGTAATATGTTTTATTCTTTATAATTCGATTATAAATATTACTATAAGTATATCTTAAAAATAGTTTGTGTTAGGTATTTCTATGGGTGAAGTATAATAAATTAAGTTATTTTGGTTTTTAAAGTTTAAACTAGTTTTACTTGTGAATTCGTTTATATTTGAATTTATATTTTTTCATTAATACACTTCATTACCTTGGAATTATTAAAATTAAGAATCTAAATTTGTATTACTTTATCTACATTGTAAATGATTAAAAAATATTATTAAATATATTTGTATATTATTCAAATTAACTAGGTTGAATATGATTATATTTCATGATCTTTCAATTTCTTAAAAATTTAAATTCGTCTTATTAACATTATATAATATTATAATCTATTCATTTTAATAATATTTTGCATGAGTAATGATTGTAATTATTTTTTTAATTCGCATTTTCTTAATGAAAAATATTTGTTGTAACTATGAAAAAATAAGCTATTTTTGTTATTTAAAATATAATAGGTTAATTGTATAATTAAAAAGTAAATTATGTCGTATTTAGATTATTGATCTTCTATATTTTTGAGTTTTTAAAAGTTTAATTACGTGATTGTAAAATAATATACGCTTTAGAATTTGTAGATATTTACTTCCACTCGTAAAAATAAAATGAGATTACGCATTTATTAATTATTATTAACAGATGCGATAGTAAATATGTCCCAAATTGTCTTATTTATATTGACTAAGATTTGTCTGGGGATTGTTTGGATATTGTAAATGTGCCAGATTGGACATTGTCCATTTTAATTTGCTCAATCATTACAGGTCACGTAGTCTGCAAGAGCTAGTACTGAATTCAAATGTTCGTTGATTCTACTAATTCTATTTTGACAGCCAAAATTATAATTGATCTTGGGAAATTAAATATACTCGGTCAAAAAAAAAAAAAAACAAACACATGCATACCTACCAATACTTTTATTATAATATATGAATTAAATTTATTATTTATAGATATAATTCTTTTCGATTTTTGGTATTAGTACAACTTCCTTCTTTTACAACATAAATTAAAAATTGATGTTATTTTACCGCGTCAAAAGTGATGACAGAGACAAACAAAAAATTTGAAAAACACATATTGTTGTAAAATCAATATTTATTGTGATGACGCTCTGCTCAGAATCTAAAATCAAATAAATTGTATTAAAAACTTATTTGCGGAAAATTTCTAAAATTTAGTTGTAGTTTTTCATAATTATTTTTAAAAGCATCCTGAGAATTTTAGCTAAGCCAAGTATAACTAAACACAATATTATAATAGTATTTTAGGACTTCATAATATAAAATTATTATAGTTAATATAATGACAGCCTTATTTTTAAAAAATATATGAAATCAACTTATATTGTATTTCAATTATATATAAGTCCATAATATATGTAATGTATATATATAGTTAGTAGTTAATCTTTACTACTAAACTTGTATATATTACACATATTATATACACTATTCATTATTTAATACCTCTTTTAATAGTTTTATATTTACAATAAAAATGCACTTTTGATAAAAAAAAAAACTTTTATACATTTTTCTTTTATAATTTTATAAAGATAATTTATGGCGTTATACATGACATGTCTTATCGTACAGTTTATTTTCCATTATGTATAAATAAATTTAATCGATATGTTTATGCGGAATGCGTGCTTTAAAACATTTATACTATCATACAATAAACAAATTATTTAAAAAATGTTTATATTCCTATCCCTACCTATACAATACATGTGTTAATATTTGAGGGTGTGTTAGGAAAGCAGACAAATCAGATTTAACCTTCACACGTTTTCTGTAAAAAACCTTGGATTGACAAATAAAGCAATTTACAGTCGCTAAGATCGTATACATTTAATGTATTACTTTATTTTTAAAATATGAACAATTATTAATGATCAATTAATTTTTTTTTTCAAATAATATGTTTTCTGTTTGCTTAGAGGCCAGAAGCCAAATGCATATGTCATAAATGTATAACTCATAAAGTCATAAATAATAGAACGTTCTACGTACGTCTTAGAGTACCTAGTGAAAATTTTTCAAATATCCATAACTTTCAATGTTTTATT